TTTCATTTTTGTTTGAATATTAATTATAGTTTTTATTATGTGAGAGATATGAGAGAGAGTATGAGATAGAGGAAGAAAAAGTTGTATCAATTAGTATGAAATAGATAGAGAGAGAGAGAGAGAGAGAGAGAATTAAATGACATATATGAGTTTTAAAAATTTTTTGCATGAGGACCGTCAGATCAATAATCGTCAAGCGATCTGAGTTGCGAAAAGTTCAAGACAAACTTTTCTAATTACTTTATTATATAGATGCTTCAAAGACACCCCAAGGTAGGAGTTGGAGGCCTTCTCAGGGATGAAAGGGCATTTGGATCATACACACCCTAATGTTCCGTTTAGTATAATGGAAAGTTAGAGTAATAAATAAAACATCAGATTTTGTAAGAAAGGAAAATAGGAAGGATGAAAAAGTGGATGAATTAATTTTCTTTCTAACTCACCAAAATCAATCATTCTAAAATCGAAAGAAAAGTGAATGAAAAATTAATTATTTGTGTTGAAATATATCTTATTTGTCTATATATTATGTATACATTAACTAGGGATAACTCGTGTCTGAAGGCACGGTGCAATTCAAAAAATATCGAGTATTGAATTTAGTTCAATTGATTTTGTGTGGGTGCCTAAAAATGCTGAGTAACCAAAAAAACCCCAACAATTAGTAAAGAGACTGGTGGAGAGAGAGAGAGAGAGAAATAGAGTGACTTACTTGAGTGAGAATGGTGGTGGCGCTGCGTGGTGATGCTGGCGCTGCTGGATGTCCAGCGTTAGAGAGAGAGAGAGAAGGGAGTGAGGTAGAAGAGAGAGAAAAGAGACAAAGCAAGAGGAGGTGTGATCTGAGAAAGAGAGAGAAAGGGCATAGGCGCTGACAGCTTGTGTGTGTCAGACGTTGTGCATTGGGGTGGGTGTACGGAGTAATGCTAAGAGGGAGGTGATGTGTGTGATAAGATGGTTTTGAGGGATAAAACGTGTGTAAGATAAAAAATTCAAATGTCCTTCTGATTGATTATATAAATTTTATTTAAAAATACAATAATAAAAAATATATAAATATAAATAAAAATAAAAATTTTAAATTAAAAAAAATAATTTTTTCATCTTAATTAGGGGTGAAAATTTTCGACTCAATAAAATGACACGACTCGAACTCAACACGAATTTTATGACATGAACTTGATTATAACTCAACAGAATTTGAAAATGACTTGATACGCGAACAAGAAATGTAAAGACTTATAATTTTATGACTCAACACGAATTTGTCACGACACGACTCGTATGTCACCTCTAATATTAGACAAAAATTTTTTTAAAAAAAATTAGTTATTTTTATTTTTCATCTATCCAACCAAACACAAAAGAAGGAAAATGTATCATTCCTAGTTTCTATCCTTGAAGAATAGAAAGTGTATCTCTCTTACTTTTCATCATTTCTATTTTTTATTTTTCTTATTTTTTATCATTCTTATTTTTCATTCTTCTTACTTTTCATCGTTCCTACCAAACCGATCATAAGAGAAGGCAAACAGACTGCAGAATTTTGTGGAGTAGGAGTCTCCTTCTGACTGTCTTGCACCCTCAGACATTTATTTAGTCCTGCTGAGGAAAACCAGATACTTGCGATTGCCCCCATAACACCAAAAAGAAAAAAGAAAAAAAAGTTTGATAAGTTTAAGAAAAACCATTATTTTTAAACATTTCTATTAGAAGAAAAATCACTAAAATCACATCGATGCTAATGAGGATTCCAATTGCATCAGGGAGATGATTAGTCTAGTGTGCATAAACTGACCTAGATACTATTAATTGTTGGATCATCTCCACTTTTATAGCACGACAAAACTTTCCATTTCTACACAAAATGATCGGTCTAAATTATAGGTCCGGAGATTTTAAAAGAGAAGTAAAAGTATATTTTAGAATTTTTATTGAATTCTAACAACACGATTCTCACGTTGGATTTACTTCACCATGGCATTGATCCATTATTAAGATTGGGTCTTATTATGATTAGGACTTTCAAAGGATCAAATTTAGACGAGAGTTCGTCTAATTCGAATTTTAGTATGATTTTAAAACATTTATTAGAATCCCAATCAAAATTTTTGATAGATTTTATTTGTGCATTCTATATCAAAATTCATTAAAAAAGATCAAAAATTAATATATTTTAGAATTCAAATTCAAATATTCTCTCCTAAAATATCAATATGCATTGAATTTTAATTTGGATTGCCTTCATATCAAAATTCACTNTTTTTTGAACAAGACTTGCTTCTAAAATTCTAATACTCCTGTCTCTCTTATAACTCTCTCTATTTATCTCATATTATCTGATGCTCATGCAACACACACATCTCTCTCAGTTAGCTATATCTCCCTCTAACATAGTGTGACAATCAGTATAAAAAATTAATCGCTAACACATTAATTAGGTTGTTAATTATGATTTTAAATAATTAAAAATTATTTTTAAAAATTTTTAATAAATAAATGAACCTTAAATACAAATTTTTTGTGTGAAAACAAATCAAATTATTATAATATAAGTTATATTTCGTATTGAAATAAAAATACTATAATATTTGAATGGTATACTAAACAAATAATACATATATATATATATATATATATATATATATATAATAAGGGAGCTGACGTTGTTTGTTTTAAACTTTTCGCGGCTCAGATTGTCCAAATTTTTTTCCACCCAAAAATTACAAGAATTTTTTCATTTTACTCGATTATCAGTTCTAAGTGATTATGATTAGAATTTCGAATTAAGCTGAATTTAATTGTTGTTGAAGTTAAATTTAAATTGATTGTAAAAATAATAAAGAATAATTAAATTTAAAAAAAAATTATGGTGTCACTATAAATATGAATAGATAATAATTAGTTTATAGATTTAATATAGAAGTATTAATTGAGTTGAACTTAAATTCAATTCTCGGTTTGAAATGATTATGATTAGGACTCAAATTGAGCTGAATTTGAATAACGAGTATAAAGTATAAATTCTTGCTTAAACTTAAATTCGATTGAAATTTGTAAATATTCAAGTTGAACTTAAATAAAAACTTAACTTTTCAACAAAGTTTTTTGGATGATTTCCTCAGAAAAGTTACACGAACTCCCAATTAAAAAATAATGCACATATAATGTTATGAATTTTAGGTAGAAACCTGCAGAAAAATAAATAGTTATTTTTTTGAAATTTGAGATAAAATTTATTGAAAATGTTGAAATCATAGATGCTTGATTAATAATAATTATATTTTTTCAAATGTTTAAATTAATATGTTGTAATAGTTATAGCGTGAGTTTCGTTATATAAAAGTTCGATTATATATTTTTTGCATATAGGATGAATAATGCCAATTTGATCATTGTATTATTGAAATTATATTATACATTACTTTTATTTATGAAAAACATATTTATAATTTTTTAAGAACAACGTAGTAGTTTTAGGCACAGACAATTACTAGTATACATATATAGTGCATATGTGTATACCTATATAATACAAACATATATGTGTGTATTGATTACTTGTTGAAATTTTGGTGAAATACCATTATAGATTGAATCAGATAATCAAATTGGATGTTCCATTATAAGTGAATTCAAATATAGATTAATACTTTTTATTTGTGGGACAAACGAATCGAATTCAGTAACATATATTTTTAATCGAATTTAGATAGATCCAAACGGTTTGAAATAATATCCTTTTATAGACATAGTTGCAAAGACAATGTCTTCACGGATAACCTTGTGAAAAAAAAGTTGACAAAATGAAATTTACTCCGTGACAGTTACCATTGTGAAAAATGAGCCAACACATGCAATTAAAATTCTCAAATCTAAACTAAAAGGGTTAGTTTAGTGGTAGCCACTTGATAAGCACTTTCATAGGTATAAATCGTGGGTTCGAATATTTTAAGAGACTTTTATCTCATTGGGGTTATTGTTCATAAATTTACTTCATTGTACGGAGGGACAATTTTACGAAAAATCCATCAATAATTCAGTAAGCGAGTGGAATAATATACTAGTGTGATCCACCTAAATAACTCGGTTACAAGAAGGGGGAAAAAAAAAGGTCTCGAAACTGCGACATAAAATGCTAACACATGTAAATTGAACAATGAAACTAAAGAAACTATAGTTATGTAAGTAAAAGTGGCTGTAATTGGATCACATGATACTTTTTGTGTAGTATTAGTAATTAATTTGAATGAGGAGACTTTAATTCAAACAAGGCCTAACATTTAAAGATCAATAATATAAAAAGATTAATACTACATAAACTTAAAAATTAGATTTAAAAATTAGATTTGATAATCTCAATTATTGAATAAATAATAAATTCTAATTAATACTAAGATCTATAATAAAATTAATGATTAAAATTATTAATTTTAATTTTTAAATTTAAATTTTAAATTCACGTAATATTATTGCTGATATCAAAAACCCAAATTAAACCAAGTATATGTATAGATTGTAAATTGCTTAGAAGAAGAAAAGATTCAAGTCAACAATATCACACTAGAAAACAATCCAATCCTACACGACTCTTTTTTAAATCCAACGGTGTGGGTCTCTCCTTTGACCACATCTCTTCCAATGACTTACGAGTTAAAGACCAATTCCAACACCCCCAATGGACCCCACAAAGCTGAAAAGGTCAATATCCCCAACACATCGTTTCAGATTAATAAAGCAAAACCAAAGCATTATATTCCTCCACAGTCCTCGAGAGAACCTCCGTCAAAGAAACAATTGTCTATGTGGTCCGAACTTATTCGTACCTAAGTTTGACGATCAGAATTCTAGAGTGACAACTCAGTCACCTGCTTTGAACTTTATCACCTCTTTACCTCGCCGATGGCATCATTTTGACCCTTCTCTCTCATATTCTCTTTAGCCCTTTTTTTTTTCTCTCCCTCTTTTTTGGGGTCTCGTTGATCGTGGTTTTGCCTATAGCCATGGCTGTGGAGCTCATGATGGGTTACAGAAACGAAAGCTTGGTTAAACAAATTGAAGAGAACGCAGTTCAAGAGGCTGCCTCTGGTCTTGAGAGTGTTGAGAAGCTCATCAAGTTGCTCTCTCAGTCTCAAAAACAAGAGGGTCAAGTTTCTTCTTTACAGCTTCAAAGATCGTCCATGGATTTAGACATGGATTGCAGAGCTGTTGCTGATGTTGCTGTGAACAAGTTTAAGAAGGTAATCTCTCTCCTGGGTCGAACCAGAACCGGCCATGCTCGCTTCAGGAGGGCCCCAATGGCTTCTTCTACTTCTTCATTTCCAAATCCAGTCCCAGAGCACTCCCATGAGGTATCTGAAGTTAAGATTTACTGTCCAACACCAATCCAACAAGTCCTTCCCGTTCATTATCATCAACCTCAGCCGGAGAATCAGGTGGTGATTCCAAGAAATGGTGTGATGGAAAGGAAGGATTCGGTGTCGAAGACGATAAGTTTTTCGTACACGCCGGCGATTTCTCGTGCAAATTCGTTCATGTCGTCGTTGACCGGTGAGACTGATAGCAAACAGCATTCTTCATCGTCGGCGTTTCAGATTGCCAATCTGTCTCAGGTTTCTTCCGCTGGAAAGCCTCCTTTGTCCTCGTCTTCCTTTAAGAGGAAGTGCAGTTCGTCGGAAAACGCCGCCTCCGGCAAGTGCAGTGGCTCTTCCGGCCGCTGCCACTGTTCCAAGAGAAGGTGAGTTTCTTCTTCTGCCTTTTTATCACTATATCTACGTTTTTTTGTATGCTTTAACTTTGATTTTGAACGAATTCATTATGTTCTTTAATTTTCTGTGTTACTTGAAACAGGAAGCTGAGACTGAAGAGGGTAATTAGGGTTCCGGCGATAAGCATGAAGATGTCGGACATACCACCTGACGACTATTCTTGGAGGAAGTACGGACAGAAACCCATTAAAGGGTCTCCACATCCAAGGTACTCATTTACTTCGTATCATCACTCGGTTCAACTCAATTCATTTTTGTACTATGAGCTTGACTCGGTCAAAACTCGGTTGTTTGATCTTTAAATTTTGTAGTCAATTTGACAGTTTCAAGCTTTAGAATTCTGACTGAATGTCTGTTTCAAGCGATCTTACCCACCTTGAAACTTCGATTTTATTTTATTTGTCACTATACTCGAACTCAATTTCCCAACGTCATATATCTTAGTTTGATTTGTTAATTTTTTTTTGATGAATAACAGGGGTTACTACAAGTGCAGTAGTGTGAGAGGATGTCCAGCACGTAAACATGTTGAGAGAGCTTTGGATGATCCAACCATGTTGATTGTTACCTATGAAGGGGAGCACAACCACTCCCTCTCTGTTGCAGAAACAGCTAATCTTATTCTAGAGTCTTCTTAGATCACCCTTATCATCATCGTCATTTTCAGGACTTGCCATGGTTGTGTTCTGCTAAGTGTAGGGTACAATCTGAATCATCAGTATGGTATTTTGTAACACTCAGCTGAGTTCAATGACTGAGTTCATTGACTCAGCAAGCTCTATCTCGAAGGAGATTATGTTGGCTGGGTTAGTTTATTCCTTTGTACAACACTGGATTCTTTGCTTTTTCTCTCTCTTTCTCTTGAACTTACTGTGAATTAATTAACAATTAGTAAAAAGAAAGAAAGAGGTGGTATTGAATTTGGTTGTTGATTCACTCTCTTCGCTTTAGTGTATTGTTTGCTTTATTTTTTTCTTGTCGTTGGATGCCTCATGCTTACTTAAATTACACTTCGAGCCCTTTAATGGTGTCTATTGTCTCACATTGCCTAATCAGATATTTCAGTTATATCGCCTTATACCTCCAATGATTATTAATTTTACATTATCCCCTTCAACTATCATATTTTTAAAAAATGCACCTGCTATTATAGTTTTGGGTTTCACTTTCACCTAGCTTAACTTATGGAAAATGGAAACATATATGTGATTTGGACACTTTTCTTGTATTGCCGAACATTTATAAGGCAGTACAACATTGGACTCATTAAAGTGAGTATAAGTTAATTCAAACATTTTTGGCCGTTGAACTAAGCAAAATGTTGCACTCATTCCTCCAAAATATACCATGAATTACTAGCGGTTGAATCCAAAATATTCAAGCAAAAACAACACACTATTGGGATACCCATATGGAAATCTTCACCCGCAACATGTTGGAAGCTTAGTTTTGGGGAGATCTGCGGCCAATTCACACAGCTGAACGGCATTAGGAGAAGTTAAATAGTTGATGGGATAAAGTGATATTTAGAACATAATTAAAAGAGTTAAAGTGTAATTTATCCTAAAAATAAACAAGAGGGAAGGGCTCGGTCAAAAAAGATGTGGAAATGGTGGAACATGTCGTGTTTGGGACGGTTGACCAAGAAAAAAGGGTTGCTGGCAGTTGGGACGGCCAATTAACTTGAGGTAGATGAAGTGATGGGTGGAGAGAGAGAGAGAGATTTTAGTTTTTAATGCAGTTTTACGGTGATTTGGTTTGTTTTTCTGGCAAATGGTTGGGTGGAAGGTAGAGAAGAGTGAGTAGGAGAGAGATGGCTGGTGTGGAAGAGCTTGAACCTCACTTTCACTCTAATGGCGAAGTCAAAATGGGTGGGTGGAGTGATTGATAAGTTATGACCATGTGGGCCCTACAATGTTCCAGTTTTCGTTTTTGCCTTTCCCTTTGCCTTTGCTTAACGTCAACCCTGATGAGAGCATGAATGGTCTCCCAAGTCATTGATCAATTGTCTTTTATTTTTTCGGCTACAGTGATTTGTCCTTGTCTTCTTCTTGGGGCTGCTCTTTTTCAATCCATGAATGGTATCAGATTTATTCATATTTGTTTTCGTAATTTATAGATTATTAGATTAATCAATCCAGGGTGTTTAAAGCAATTTTTAAAAAAAAATTAAAAAAACAGGCCACATGGTGGTCTGTTTTTGGAGTATAAAGAATCTGAGATATGTCATTGTACTTTTTCAGTTGACATCCGGGGAATTTTGATTCAATTAATTGATAAATTTTTTTTAAAAAAATATAAATTAATATTAAAAAAAAATACAAAAATATAATCGAACACCAAGATTCAACTTATGTCTGAAAATCATATAAGATAATTTTCACTTTAATCTATAATAAACAAACATACAAAAAAAAATACAATTATGATCTATGAAATTATGCATGAAAAATAGACACGCCCACACCAATGTATTTCCCTTGATACCATTTGCATCAAGACTTACATCCCAACGATGTTATGCAAGATTTGCTTCCATATCCTTGATGTCGAATTCGTGCTCGAGTAAGAAATTGACACCCCTGCCAACGAGCATCTTCATAAACAATAAGCAAACACCCATCTTAACATACATTACACATGCCATTATGCCATCATAAGCAAATCCCATGGCATAATGAAGACTCTGACTGAGAAGGACGATTTGAAGATAAATCAACAAGCCCCAAAGCCATTCTGTCCAAATAAGAAGAAACCAGAATTAGACGCCCTTGGGCCAATGCCATTATCTTCAAACCTGAAAACAATTTTAACCCAATTCTTTATTTTAACTATTCAAAATATATTTAAATATTATACTCCCTATTTTAAAAAATAACTTTTACAAGTTCACTCTAATTACGCTATCTATTTTAACTTTCATATTTTTTTACGGTCATATTTAACCTAAAAAAAATAAGTTTAGAGAAAAAAAAAAGAATCAGGATAAGAAAAAAGAGAGAAAGAGAGAGCGAAATCAAGTTGAGAAAAAAAAATCAGGTTGAGAGAGAAAAAAAAGAAATGACAAAAGAAAAAGTTGATTGAACAGAGAGGGAGAAGGAGAGGGAGAGAGAGAGATGCCACATTTTGAGAGTCAAAAAATTGAAATAGAAAGTAGGATAGAAAATTTTTTTAGTATTGGACTGAGTAAAATGGTGAAAAAATAAAATACAGAGGGTGAATTAGAGTTGTTTTTATGGGACAATTAGGGATGTTCACCCTACTCTATGGGTAGAAAATATAGTCTTTCGTCTTCCTACCCGATATTTTGTGAAAGAATTTCTTTTTGACCTACCCTATCCGATCAGGTGTGGTATTCCTACTCGACTTTCTACCCGATTATTTGGGTATGAAGTCAGATAAATACTTTTGTAGCTTATTAATTTTTGGATAATTTTAACAATTCAATTAAATAACATGCACCAATTTAACAACATAATAAATCAATAACACTAAAATTTAAAACAACTACAATAATAATTATAATAAAATATAAGAAAGCATAAACATTAATCCATCATAATTGTTACACAAATACAATAACAATTATTTTAAATTTAAATTATATGAAATACATTAAAATCATAACTATTTCAATAGATCATNACTATAAATATGAATAGATAATAATTAGTTTATAGATTTAATATAGAAGTGTTAATTGAGTTGAACTTAAATTCAATTCTCGGTTTGAAATGATTATGATTAGGACTCAAATTGAGCTGAATTTGAATAACGAGTATAAAGTATAAATTCTTGCTTAAACTTAAATTCGATTGAAATTTGTAAATATTCAAGTTGAACTTAAATAAAAACTTATCTTAATTTTTCAACAAAGTTTTTTGGATGATTTCCTCAGAAAAGTTACACGAACTCACAATTAAAAAATAATGCACATATAATGTTATGAACTTTAGGTAGAAACCTGCAGAAAAATAAATAGTTATTTTTTTGAAATTTGAGATAAAATTTATTGAAAATGTTGAAATCATAAATGCTTGATTAATAATAATTATTATTTTTCAAATGTTTAAATTAATATGTTGTAATAGTTATAGCGTGAGTTTCGTTATATAAAAGTTCGATTATATATTTTTTGCATATAGGATGAATAATGCCAATTTGATCATTGTATTATTGAAATTATATTATACATTACTTTTATTTATGAAAAAANCAATGATTATTAATTTTACATTATCCCCTTCAACTATCATATTTTTAAAAAATGCACCTGCTATTATAGTTTTGGGTTTCACTTTCACCTAGCTTAACTTATGGAAAATGGAAACATATATGTGATTTGGACACTTTTCTTGTATTGCCGAACATTTATAAGGCAGTACAACATTGGACTCATTAAAGTGAGTATAAGTTAATTCAAACATTTTTGGCCGTTGAACTAAGCAAAATGTTGCACTCATTCCTCCAAAATATACCATGAATTACTAGCGGTTGAATCCAAAATATTCAAGCAAAAACAACACACTATTGGGATACCCATATGGAAATCTTCACCCGCAACATGTTGGAAGCTTAGTTTTGGGGAGATCTGCGGCCAATTCACACAGCTGAACGGCATTAGGAGAAGTTAAATAGTTGATGGGATAAAGTGATATTTAGAACATAATTAAAAGAGTTAAAGTGTAATTTATCCTAAAAATAAACAAGAGGGAAGGGCTCGGTCAAAAAAGATGTGGAAATGGTGGAACATGTCGTGTTTGGGACGGTTGACCAAGAAAAAAGGGTTGCTGGCAGTTGGGACGGCCAATTAACTTGAGGTAGATGAAGTGATGGGTGGAGAGAGAGAGAGAGATTTTAGTTTTTAATGCAGTTTTACGGTGATTTGGTTTGTTTTTCTGGCAAATGGTTGGGTGGAAGGTAGAGAAGAGTGAGTAGGAGAGAGATGGCTGGTGTGGAAGAGCTTGAACCTCACTTTCACTCTAATGGCGAAGTCAAAATGGGTGGGTGGAGTGATTGATAAGTTATGACCATGTGGGCCCTACAATGTTCCAGTTTTCGTTTTTGCCTTTCCCTTTGCCTTTGCTTAACGTCAACCCTGATGAGAGCATGAATGGTCTCCCAAGTCATTGATCAATTGTCTTTTATTTTTTCGGCTACAGTGATTTGTCCTTGTCTTCTTCTTGGGGCTGCTCTTTTTCAATCCATGAATGGTATCAGATTTATTCATATTTGTTTTCGTAATTTATAGATTATTAGATTAATCAATCCAGGGTGTTTAAAGCAATTTTTAAAAAAAAATTAAAAAAACAGGCCACATGGTGGTCTGTTTTTGGAGTATAAAGAATCTGAGATATGTCATTGTACTTTTTCAGTTGACATCCGGGGAATTTTGATTCAATTAATTGATAAATTTTTTTTAAAAAAATATAAATTAATATTAAAAAAAAATACAAAAATATAATCGAACACCAAGATTCAACTTATGTCTGAAAATCATATAAGATAATTTTCACTTTAATCTATAATAAACAAACATACAAAAAAAAATACAATTATGATCTATGAAATTATGCATGAAAAATAGACACGCCCACACCAATGTATTTCCCTTGATACCATTTGCATCAAGACTTAC